AAAGATGCCTTCTCAGTTTACTTGTGAGCTGAAGGTAAAATCTCTGAGCTGTCACCTAAAATGTTGTGCGCCAGTATCCCCTAGCGCAGCTTAGAGGGAACTCTGGTAGGGAGTGGGAGGCACCGTGCTTCAGTGGCTCTGCTCTTAGTTGACTGGCTGATTCCAGAAGTTTGTGCTGGGGAACTGTTGCTTGACCCTGTGGCATTTATGTTGTGGTTTGCTATAGGATTCCATCTTGCCCCCTTGCTATTTAACATCTACATGATGTGGAGTGAGATGTCACAAATATGTGGATGACATCCAGCTCTATTTCTTTTTAACAGCTGAGTCAGTGGAAGTCCTGAATGGGTGCCTGGAGAAGATAACTGGATGTATGAGGGCCAATAAATTGAAGCTCAATCCAGACAAGACTGAAGCATTGCTACTTCAGGCCTGCAGAGTCAGACTATCCTAGAAGGGGTTGCATTTCCCCTGAAACGAGCAGGTTTGTAGCTTGGGGTGCTACTAGATCATCGCCTATTGTTGGAGGCTCAGCTTTAGCTGATATGCTAGGTATGGACCTTCTTTGAAGAAAAGCATAACCTGGCCACAGTAATCCATGGTCTGATTACTGTTAACATGCTCTATGAGAGGCTACATTTGAAAAGTCTGAAAACTTCAGTTGGTCCAAAATGCGGTGGTCAGGCTGTTGTTGGAGGTTGGTTATAGACTATATCACCCATGCTGATAAATCTGCACTGACTACTCCTCTGTTTCTAGGAACAATTCAAAATGCTGATTCCTACCTGATCTCTGTGCCCTGATCTCTGTGCCCCCACTTTCAGAAGTGAGGCTGGTGGCAACTTGGAACAGGGCATGTTCAGTGGTGGCATCTCACCTTTGGAATACTCTCACCCTAAAGACTTGCATGCACAACGCCTGCCAGGCTGTCTTCAAGGGCTGGGCTGAAACATTTTGTGCTAGGTTTTTAACTGAGGGGTGTTTTTTTTAGCTTTTATGGGCTGTTTTGGGTCTCTGAGCTTTTTTTAAAAAAATGATATCGTAAGTAGTTTTTATATCCCTGACCCCTGCCTTATTTTTTTTAATTGAGCACTTATTATGATATTATGGTTTTTTACTTACAAGCTGCCTCAAACAGAACTCTGGAAAAGCCACATAAAACATACCTAAATATTTCTTGACCCATGGATAGTTAATTGCTACTGCTGCAATAACAGCTTAAAGTTGGAAACTCCTCTCACAGAAGCATTTAGCATGGGTGTCAAACATAAGGCCCGGGGGCTGGAACTGGCCCATCCAGGGCTCTTATGTGGCCCATGAGCAACTAATGCAGGGGAGGGAATAGGAGACTGCTCAGGGGAGAGTGGCTGGAGCCACTCCAATTGTGGCTTCAGCGTTGCAGAACAACCTCATCTGTAGCAGTCAAGCAGCATGGGAGTGTCTGCCCAGTGCTGCACAGCTGTCTCTCCCGTCCACCCATAGGAGTCTTCCTTTGCACCCCCCTCCCAGCCCATGGGCCTTGCAGTGAGGATACACCAATGCGGAGCTTACCAGCTACTGTCCTTTATACAGTTTATATCTCCAGTACCTGGCATTACATTTTATGGCACACATGGCCCAGCCCGACAAAGCAGCATTTAGGTCAGATACAGCCCTCATAACAAATGAATTTGACACCTCTGATTTATAGGATGTTAGACTTCTAGTGCATGTACTTACTTTGCTGTTGTTAATTAAATCCCAGTTTTCCATTCATGGGAGCTTTCAGCATAGGGGAGCATTCTGAAACTGATGCTCCATCATCCTCCACCTGCTATTCAAAGCTGTGCAGACCATTCCACACCCACTTCGTTCTCCTGCAAGTGAGAAGGCCTCAGAACTGCAGTAAACATTCTGTGGATACTTTTAGATCCCTTATGTTTAAGGCAACCCCATCCATTCTAATCCTTTCAATTTCTGCCCTCTTCTTTCTACTGACAGCATACAGCTCCTCTGTGGCCTAGTTGATGTGTAGGTACCAGCTAGGGCTGCCGGGTCCCCCGGGAGGGCGGAGGTTCCCCTGCTAAAAGGGTCCCCAATCCACCGGTTTGGAAAAGGCTGGCGGAGGGACCCCCACCCCCAAAGTGCCCGGTTCAGTCCGACGTGCCCAGAGGTGACATCATCGCATCGGGCACCTCGCCAGCTGATGCTCTAGCAATCAGCCAGCGACACGCCCATAATGATGTCTCCTCGCGGCACACGAATGTCCCGGCCAGGGACCAACTCTCCCCCGCTATTAGCGGTAAGTGATTTGGCAACCCTAGTACCAGCCTCTCCCTTTTCCACCATAAATGCCAGAGCAATTTTTTAAAAAAGGGTGTTCAGTGACACACTGCATGCAGTTCCTTCATTTCTTGTCTCAACAAAGTATTGTCCTTTTCTTGGCACCCACAAGAACACAAGCTCTGTATTGCTTGACTGCTGCAGTTTCTACTGCTTCAGCCCCCTCACTGGTAATAAAAGGTGTGAGATAGGCAAACAGGTATCTCTTACTGTCACATGGAGAATTCTGTGTAATCCTTTACATTTTCAAATGTACAGTGCATTTAAGAACACAAGAAGAGCACTACTGGATCAGACCAGCGGTCCCTGCAGTGTACCATCCTGTTTCACAGAGCAGCCAACCAAATGCTCCAATGGGTCAATGCACAGGGTATACAGACCTAGGCCTTTCCCTGGTGCTGCTGCCCAGCACTAATGTTCAGAGGTTTTCTGCCTCTATGTATGGATGTTCCCTTCACTCACCATGGCTAACAGCCATTGGTAGCCCTATTTTCCATGAATCTGGCCAACCCCCTTTGAAAGCCATCTGTGCTTGTGGCAACAACATCCACTGGCAATGAATTCCACGAGCCTGTCCTGAATCTATTGCCAATCAACTTCACAGGGTGTACCCTACTTCTACTATTATGAGGGAGAAATCTCTCATTTCCTCACATCCAGGAAACTTTATTTTCACTATTTCCAGATAGCTAGGTTGTTCCATCATTTTTGAAATGCTGGCTGAATGCAACAAATGAGTGTACACAAATGCACATGCCATTTATCTACACTCATCGGAAAGCTGGAATTACATGGGTTAATTTGGATGCAACAAGAAATGCTATATGGACTGAAACAACCCCACTCAGCATCTTCATCTGTATTTACATGGTAGGCCTGAAATAGCCGAAGTGGAGCCGAAAAGCAAGACTCCTTAGGATGGCTGTAAACAACAGCTAGGCATACTCACAAAATGGCTGACAGGCAGCTAAAACTGCCAAGGAAAGAAGAATCCAAGACAGCGTTAGTTTGAAGAAATGAAGACTCACTGCAAGCAGTTGCACGGGCATGGCCGTTCAGAATCCCTTCTGTGCAAGGAAAGGGAAGTGAAAATCATAGCCTGCGCCCACAAGCACAAGTTGACAACTGGTGCATTACTGGAGCCAACTCTTAAAAACATGGTAAAGACAAACTGGCCTTCTTTATAGTGTTTCTCAATGTATTTAAAACAGATAGTACTTTCTTTTCTCTGTTTACTGGATCACCTAGAGTCTGCAGATTGCAAGACGGAAGACCTGGGAGGCATACACTTTGCCACACGGGCAAGAAGACTCTACAACCATTCCAATTAACAAATTCTGGGTCTGAATGAAATAGTTGGAAAATGTAGGCTATGCTGCTTAAGGATACAGTTTTACAGCTCAGTAACAAGTTTTGCAGCTCACTAACAGTTATTCAAGAATGGCCTAAAATTAGCAGAAACAGCTTTTTCTATATATCTTGGTAAGTCTTTTTCTTTTACTGTTCCCTGTGGACCCCCCCCCCCCCCCAATTCCATTTTTCCTCTCAGCTCCTGTAAAACTGATAGAAATAAAAAAGCATTACTCTTTTAGTAATATAGCATTACTAAAGATGACTACAGAAATTAGGTTTGTTTCCTTACAATATGTAAGTACATTTAACTGTTCCCCCCTTCAAACAAATTTCTAGGGCACAGCTATTATCAGTCTTTAAAGTACTCTTCACACTGTAATTTACAGCTCACATGGAGAAAACTTATGCTTAACTTCCCACTCTGCCCATCTGCATGATGCTTAACCCCCTACTCTGCCCATCTGCCACAAAAGAACTATTACACATACACCAGGGGGGAAATACTTGTTCCTTCAAGAGTAATTGGTTACCCCAGACGGTGTGCTGTCAGGGCCAGACTTTGGGGCAGGAGGTCAAGGACTCCAGCTCATGGGCTTAGCTGAGGGCCCCAAAGCAGATGCAGTCTGGCATGTGACTGATAGTCAGCTGAATTATATATTCAACCTCATGAAGTCAATAGAGCAGTTTAGCAGAAACCCACTCACAACAGTTGATGCAAATAAGTTCATCATCACATATTTTAAAAACTCTTTAAATTTTATTTTTTACTTCAAGATTTGCATTAGCTGACAGAATAAAATGCAGGCCTACAATGAAGCACACTATTCATTCCCCCAAAACAGTTATTTTTTAAAAAATACACAAAACTCAATTGAGTGAAACTATGAAGTCAGTAACTCATAAAACATTTTTACAAGCTTGCTAAAAAATGAACAATTTATACAACAGCTTTATAGTTTGATTTGGGCTCTGGCAGAACTCACTGGCAAAAAGTAACATGCAACATCAGAGCAACTCAGAAGACACCTCAGATCCAATTATAGTGTGTGTGTTCTCAAGAGGGCTGTGGATTTCTTTTGGTCCAGGCTATACTAAAGGGTAAAACAAAGACTGAAAATTCTCCTAAAAGGATGGAACATTGAAGGCAGCTGAGACAGGAGGAGAAGGGTATGGAAAATCAGTTGGCTCAAGCTTATACGATTTTATACTTTCTGCCAACAAACTGGAGAAAAAACAACCTGCCCCTTTAACAGAGGCTCCTTTAACAGAGGCTTAATGTACGCAGCTGAAACTTTTCATACTATGGAGGTAAATAACATCAGTGAAGGCAGCTGAGACAGAAGGAGAAAGGTATGGAAAATCAGTTGGCTCAAGCTTGTAGGATTTTATACTTTCTGCCAACAAACTGGAAAAAACCAACCTGCCCCTTTAACAGAGGCTTAATGTATGCAGCTGAAGCTTTTCATACTATGGAGGTAAATAACATCACCTGCTAAATAAAATCCCATTAAGCTGCTGTTAAGGGGCAGGGCATTTTTTCTCCAGATCTTTAACAGCTTATAGAATCCTAGAAGGGGGAGTTAGGAAGTGGCACAGGAGGGGGTTCCAAAGTGATGCCTTACAGTCTCCCACCTTGTACTCTTCATTTAAGAAAATGACCTCCACTTGCTCTTCTCCTGGTAAAGCAATATGAAAGATCCTGATTTAAACAAGGCCTAGGGCCGATGATGAAGAAAGAGTCTAAACATCATGATCTATTACAGCAATGTCTTTGGTGCTCTTTTTTTGCAAAACCAATCTAGTATTCTGACCAGATGCATTTCTCTATGCTGTGTCACCATGTCTGCAAGCACCTGAGAGTTGTACCTGCCAAACCTCCCTTCAGCTACCAAAAGGCAAAGGAACCCTCTAATGTTGAAAAGGCTTATGATCTTCAATTTAAAGATATTTTCAATGTTAAGTTATTCTCTGTAGTTAGAGGATCTTGATTATCATGATGGAGAAAAAATAAACATTTACATAACATTTACGCCATCCTTCCAGAAAAAAATAACAGCACTAACATTTGTGCTATCTGCATGGCTTCTGGCAGCCATAGTGGCAGGTGCGCAGAAGATTCTCACACATCCTTAACTTTCATTTTATCTAAGACTAGGACGGGCCCTCTACTTACGCAGTACAAGATGTGCACCAACAGTTTCCACATCCTATTCAATTATGGCTGCAATTGTAGACATAGTTACCTAGAAGCAAACTCCATGAAGTCTCCTGATTTATTCCTGAGCAAACATGCACAGGACCAGGCTGTAAGTCAGATTCGATTGTTATAAAGAATTATCTACATTTACCAAATAACCGTGGTTCCATCAGTACCCCCACACCTATTTTTAGAAAGTTGTGTCCCATGGTCAAAGGGGTAAGGAACAAAAGTTCTCTATACCTTCTTCGATCAGAATCAAGATACATATTTTAAAAACCTAAAATGAGTGTTCAGTGTAAAAAGACCCCAATTTAAAATGCACGTCCGAAGTGAAACTTGTTTTAGTCTTCAGATTAGTCTTCTACTTCAGTAAATCATGTAGCATAGTAAAAATCTAGCACCTCTTCTCTTGGGCCTAGTGTTGATTCTAAAAAGAGAGAGAGAGAGAGAGAGAAATTCTAAAGTAGAAGTCAGTTAAATGTATTGCAGTCACATCTATCAATAATAAGCGAACACATAACATCTGTTCCAGCTAAATTAGTAGCAACTGTTATTAAGACAGAAGCCTGAAGAAGAGCACCACTGGCTGAGGCAAAAATCAGCATGGCTTGGGCAAAGAGAAGTCCCGCCTCCTCAAATTTTGACGTTCTCTGCAGTTAATAAACATGTGGATAAGATAGGCATATATACTTCCAAAAAAACTTCTGACAAGGTTCCACAACAAAAACTCCTAAGTAAACTCAATAGTCATGGGATAAGAGGACCATCTTATGAATTAAAAACTGCTTAAATGTGAGAGAGCAGGAATAAATGTACAGTTCTTGCAATGGGTGGAAATAAACAGTGGAGTCCTTTAAGTATTGGTAATGGTACTTGAACTCTTAAGTTTGTTTGTACATTATCTGACATTGGGGGTGAGCAGTGTAATAGCCAAGTTTTCAGGAAATACTGGGTGAGTGGGAAACAACATAGCAACTGAAGTTCAACTAGGGTAACTGCAAGGAGATGCACACTGGAACAAGAAATTCTAACTTTAAATATATGCTAATGGGGTCTGAACTGGTACAGACTAAAAGGGAAAGAAATTTTGGTGCTGTAGGACAGAACTCAATAAAAATGTTGACTCAGTGCACAGCAGTGGTGAAAAAGGCCAGTTCCTTAATGGAGATTATTAGGAAAATGATGGTAGATATAATGGCCAGTATTGTATAAAGCCATGGTGCAGCCTCATTTGAAATACTTCATATAGTTCTGGTCACCATATTTCAAAAAAAGATATTTCACAGCTGGGAAAAGTGAAGGGCTTGTAAATGCCGGAAGCCAACATAGGCTACTACAATTTTCCTGGCCATAACACACTGAAAAGGCTGTGCAAATTGGCACTTAGACACAGGATAATCATACATTTTTGTTGGTAACAAATGAATTGAGACAAGTAAGGTTGTCTATCAATAGTCGTTAACATAATTTTGATACCATTTGACTCATGACTCAAGAGATCACACTGCTTGTCATCTTCTCTACCATGGATTTAGAGTAATGCCACACAAAACTATCACTTCATTGTTTTTAAAATGCATAAGTATTATATTATGTATAATCAAACTCAAACATAACTGTAATTAATAACATTTATCCATTTAAAAAGTGAGGAATCTGGGGCAAAACCGGGTTACTGGAAAGGAGGTTTGCAAAGCTGGAGCAACTTATACAGAGCCCAGAACCCAGGAGCTGGAGAAGCTAGTCTCTCTCGAAACACCTGGAGCCTCATCCACGCTCCTCTACTTTTCTGCCTTTTAGCAAGCACAACACACATGTTTTCAAGCTTCCCACTGCATGCATGAAGATATAGAGTTTACTCTATAGTGGCAGAAAATTACATGCTCGAGTATATAACATTCCAAGAAATAAGACATTTACAATGGCAATTAGATATTTCCATCAAATGTAATGCAATTACAAAAAGATCCCACACTTTTTCTAGAGTACAGACATGCACTAAGAGTTACAATCGAATATTAAAAATATATTCACTACGTTCTTTCCTCAACACTTGTTGAATCAATACATTAAAGATCCCACTTTAGATCAGCCATTTATACACAAACCTATTTTACTATTTGCAAAAGTAGGTCTCTTCAGCATTTTGTTTTGTTTTTCAAGAGCTCTAAATGTTAAATATTCACCTTTTTCATTATTTCATCACGGGTTGTAAAATGTGGAGCATCTTCAACTTCAATCCCCTCAGCCATTTCTATTACCTTGTCCAGGAGATCTTTGTTGTACCTACAAAATAAAAATTAAGAGTTACAGAGTAATCCTAAACAGGTCTTTTAAAAAACATTTATTGAGTTTTCAAATAATTAACAAAAACAGTGTAACAATACAACAAATACACGTAGAAAGATATAGCATAAACCTCCAAACGTACCTGGATGAAGTTGTTACAGGTAATAGTGTTAAACAATGTAAAACTAACATCAATATAGGAATACTAATTCATATAGCATAAACCTCCAAACGTACCTGAATGAAGTTGTTACAGATAATAGTAAGTGTTAAACAATGTAAAACTAACATCAATATAGGAATACTAATTCCAAAGATATTTAATGAACAACAAAATTTCAGAAATCTTTTTATCCAGAGTTACTAAAACATAGTAATCGACCTAAAAGAAAGCAAAAGATTTGTAGTAACTATTTTTGAGAACCCTTGTTTCAGTATTAAGATACGACAAAACCGGAAACCATTGTTCTGCAAAATTGGATATGTATGCAGGAGATTCTGATAGAAGGATCTGATCTGAGATTTTGGCCATAATAAAAAAATCCCACAATTTATTAACCCATTGTGAGACTGAAGGAAGGTGTTCGTCTTTCCATTTTGATGCCAGCACCAGCTTTGCTGCCACCAAAAGAATAGATATCAGATCCCTTCTGCTTTTCGGGATGTCACTATCATACCAAAGGTTTAACAGAATAGTCTCAGAAAGCAATGGTACATCATACGTGGTGATGAGTTTAATCTGATGTATTATTTTAATCCAGTAGTCTTGGATGAGGAGGCATTCCCACCAGACATGAATATATGTACATTTTTGAGAGCATTGCTTCCAACAAAGGTGGAATCCTAAGCAGGTCTACTAAGTTCTATTCAACCGGAAATTGTTATTAGAACTGCAATTTTAATGTGATATCCCATGTTCTGCTGTGTACTATAATTCACTAAACTCAATTATCATAATTCAGATATGCTTTTTAAAAGAGAAAGCAGTGTCCTTGTAGTTTTATAAGTTGGAAAAAAGGAGGTGTAGCGAGAGCTGAGTTCTTCTACGCTATTATTTCAGTAACATCAGCAACTCATTTTCTGAACACCAGTTTACAAGAGCTAGGCAAAAAAATTAAAATCCATACAATACTCAGGTAGCTATTTCACTTTTTAAAAAAATTCACTAAGGAACACTATTTAAGAATTTGAGCTTTCCTTATAAAGTAGAAGTGAATCTTAGAGGCAGACCCAGATGTTCAGATATACTGTATTTTTAAACTCTCTGTTTCTAAGACTTAAGCAATTCTTATCATGACCATTTTAACATACTAAACACTGGAAATACAATTCATCCAGTTTCCTAACATGTCTAGTAGATTCTTAAAAGTGTGAGATGTATGCATATATTTTCATTGTCCAGATGTGAATAGGGCTGGACCAGATCTCCACTGTAATTTCTTAGAATTGTTTCACTGAATAGAGCCTTCGGGTGGTCTGGATGCCTCAATGACTATGGAGGCCCAGGTCACCACCACTGCTAGATCTGCCTTTTTCCACCTGAGGCAGATCAGGCAGTTGGTCCTACATCTCAGTCCCTGTGACCTAGCTACAGTGATCCATACAATGGCCAGTTCCAGGCTGGATTATTGTAACTCTCTCAATGTGAGGCTGCCCTTGACCCTACTCCAGAAACTGCAGCTGGTGCAGAACGCGGGAGCATGGGTGTTGACTGTGTCATCTGTGCAGACATGTATCCACCCAGCGCTGCAGGAACTGCACTGTATGCCCACTGTGTACCAGATCCCATTCAAGATGCTGGTAGTTACCTTTAAAGCCCTATATGGCCAGGGGCCAGCAAACCTTCGGGACTGCCTCTCCCCATATGAGCCCCGCAGGAACTTACAATCTATTAATCAACACCTCCTGGTGGTTCCCAGCCCCAGGGATGTCTGACTTCAAGGAGAGCCAGGCCTTTTTTTGCCTACCTGGTGGAATGAGCTCCCATTAGAAATCAGGGCCCTGTGGGACCTATTACAGTTCCGCAGGGCCTGCAAGACAGAGCTTTTCCACCAGGCTTTCAGTTGAGGCAGCAGGTACCCACCTGCTACTGGACTTCCCCTCCAGTGACCTCAGATCTGAATGGCCATCTGGGAACAAACTGCTTCTTATTGAAATCTGTTGAGGCACCGGTCTTTTACTAAATATTGTTTTTAGATATATTTTAATTGTTGATTTATTGTATTGTGAATTTTATGATGGAACCTGCCCTGAGCCCGCTTGTAGGAAGGGCGGGACACAAATCAAATTAAATAAAAAGTTCCTCATCGAAAGCCACCATAAACATCACAGCCACATACTTATATACATAATTTGTAAGCTCAAAAACTAATTTATTTCAGCACTGCAGTTCACAGTCGTTTTCTGAAGTAAGCAAGTTAACCAACTCTGAATTACAATAATTGGGCACATTAGCAGAATAATTATGGACTAGGGTTGCCAGCAGCCTAGAGAAAAACAAGCCTTATCACTTTAACAGAGGCTTAATGTAGAGTTGCCAGTTCCAGGTTGGAAAACACTTAAGAGTTTTGGGGGGTGGAGCCTGAGGAGGGGGGGGATAATGCCAGAGTCCACCTTCCAAAGCAGCCATTTTCTCCAGGTGAACTGATCTCTGTTGCCTGAAGATCAGTAGTAATCCCAGGAGACCTCCAGCTACCACCTGGCGGTCAAATTCCAAAAACAACATCCCTGACAAAAGTAACGAAGAGTCAATAAATATAAGTTGCAAAAATGTTCACTGTAGTAATTTCTGTAGAAAAATTTCTTCTATTACTGCTCACATGCTAACGAATACTGCGCAATGAACAATTTGTTTCACAATATTTGCTTTATCTGAGCGTGAAGCAATCCCAGTTCTTATCAATCACTACTTATCAACTCCTGAAGGGAAAATTCCATGTTGACTCTCTAATAACAGAACCCAAGGTCTTCACAATGTATTAGCTGGATTCTCAAAGCTAAAGTCTCGTGTAGCAATCCCAATTCTTATCAATCACTACTTATCATCTCCTGAAGGGAACACTCCATGTTGACTCTCTAATAACAGAACCCAAGGTCTTCACAATGTATTAGCTGGATTCTCAAAGCCAAACAGACCTTGGGTTCTGTTATTAGAGAGTCAACATGGAATGTTCCCTTCAGAAGATGATAAAGTAAAGGTAAAGGTTCCCTTGCTCGTAAGCCAGTCGAATCTGACTCTAGGGTTGCGGTGCTCATCTCCGTTTGCCAGCGCTGTCTGAAGACGTTTCCGTGGTTATGTGGCTGGCATGACTAAACACCAAGGTGCACGGAACGCTGTTACCTTCCCACCGAAGTGGTACCTATTTATCTACTTGCAATTTCTTGCTTTCGAACTGCTAGGTTGGCAGGAACTGGAACTAGAGATGGGAGCTCACTCCATCATGCGGCACCCAGGTCCCGAACTGCTGAACTACTGACTTTCCACAGCCTGCAGTTCAGCGTCTTAACCACTTGAGCCACCGCAGCTCCTTTTATCAGGAGATGATTAGTAGTGATTAATAAGAATTGGGATTACTACACGAGACTTTGTTTGGCTTTGAGAATCCAGCTAATACACTGTGAAAACCCTGGGTTCTGTTATTAGAGAGTCAACATGGAATGTGCCCTTCAGGAATTGATAAGTAGTGATTGATAAGAATTGGGATTGCTACACACTCAGATAAAGCAAATATTGTGAAACAAATTGTTTATTGCACAGTATTCATTAGCGTGTGAGCAATAATAGAATAAATTTTTCTACAGAAATTACTACAATGAACATTTTTGCAATTTATCTTTAATGACTTTTCATTATTTTTGTCATGGATGTTGTTTTTGGAATTCTACTTCGTCCCGCGACCTCTCATTTTTGGCTTCTACCACCTGGAGATTGGCAGCTATTTTAATGGGATGTTGCTTACCAACTGGTTATTTACTCCGTGCCATTAAAAAAAAAATTCACCTGCCCATTTCAACACATTAAACCACTGTTAAAAGGCTATGACGTTTTTCTCCAAGCCCCTCAGCAACCTTATCATGACCTGCTGACAGTTGTCTATGTAAATCCTAGGGCCAAACCCTATTTATAAAAAAAAATTCCAGGGTATCTGGTGAGGCGCAATCCCAGGTAGGAGAGCACAAGATTGTAGCCCACTAGAATGAGAGGTGCTTCCAATGAGGTTGTTTTATGTTGGCCGTGGCAGAGTTCCTTTGACTGCTATGTGGCGGGTGAAAATAAAGCAGATGAATCGGCTCCCAATCGTAGTCACAACGCCGAGGAAAGCTTCACCTATTGAATTTCTGCCTTGTCATACAACTTTTAGAGAGAGAGGCTACGGAGATACAAGCGACGCGTTCTAATGCACGGAACACCCGCAAAGGAGGTTTTCTTTGCTGCTTGCCCGGGGACAGGACTAGAAATACTTCTTCGCTCACTGACTGCACATCAACGTAACCTAAGGGAGGCGCAGGAAGGGCGGTACCTGCATCCCAAGAAGAGATGATTGGCCCAGACCATAGAGAGCGAGAGCAGCTGGTCCACACGCAGCGCAGAGAGCTCCGCCCCGTCCTCTGGCGGGACGTTGCGCAGGATGAAGGTACGCCGGGCCTGCCAGTGTTTTTCGTTCTCCGAGTAGGAGCGGAACTGTTCGGGAAAATCATCCACCAGCTCATCGTTCCCCCGCACCATCCCGCCTGCTTTCCCGTTCAACACGCTAGAATGGGGGAGGGAACGGAACCGGAAGCAACGTTTCTAACGGTCGTGGGGTGGTGAGGGAAACGTTGGCCAACAACCTTGCCGCTCTAGCCCTACATACTCCCTGACCCCCATATGCAGCGCAATGCCGGCTCCGGAATCCCGTGGGGGTGTTTCTATTTAGTGATGAGCATGCGCACAAGGACAATACTGGATCATCTTCAGTTTTGTTGCTTGGCTGAAATTTAAGAATCGTTAGCTCTGCTGCTGGGGAATTTCTGCAGTCCCTTATGGTTACCAGCAGTGGTGTCTCCCCCCTTCCCGTGTCTTGTTTACCACTACCATGTTGAAGATACCCCGTCTTTTTCTAGTCTTTTTCCCCTACTTCATTATCTCCCATTTCTGGCTGGTGTGCTTCCAGAGCTACCCTGGCATGACGTCATCTATGCTGTGTTCACAAGTCCTGGCAGAACGAGGCTGCATTTGTTTCTTCAGATCCTGGATCCTTCTTCTCCAATTTAATACCAAATTTAATAATACTTCAGCAGCTCTGCTTCCCAAAATAGGTTTTGAACTCACCCTAAGCCCTACATCTCTGGAACCAGGATGCAGAGCCCAGCAAAATTCCACAGAAAGATTGGTGCCCCATCCAAACTTGTCTTTGTATACAAAGCACTCCAAATTACAGTAACTTCCAAGAATCATTCAAGTGGGGTAGCCGTGTTGGTCTGAAGTAGCAGAACAGAGTTTGAGTCCAGTGGCACCTTTAAGACCAACAAAGTTTTATTCTGTATATAAGCTTTAATGTGCAAGCACTTTTTTGTTCCAAGAATCATATGAGCTTATGCTGCTAAACAACTAAAAGATAAGTAGGTTTGGGGCTAGTGCCCCCCTCCCAAATAAGCTTTGGATCACCCCAAAACATTCTACCCCTAGTGGCTTACAACAGCATTTTTGTCTCCTCCATTTTATCCTCACAACCATGCTGTGAGTTAGCATTGTCAACTGGGAAAGGAGATTCCTGGAGATGGGGGGGTTGAAACCAGGGGAGGGAGCACAACAGTACAAAAAGGTTGCCACGCTTCAAGTGGCACCTGGCGATCTATTAAAATTGACCTCCAGAGGACCAAGATTAGTTCCCCTGGAGAAGACAGCTGCTTTGGAGGGTGTACTCTGTAGCATCCCAGCTGAAGTCCCTCCCTGCCCATGCTCCACCCACAAAATCTTCTATGATTCTATGATTTTCCAACCCAGAGCTGGCAACCCTCCAGTACAATGCCATACAGTAAACCCTCCAAAGCTGCCATTTTCTCCAGGGGAACTGGTCTCTGCCATCTGGACATCAGTTGTAATTCTGGGAGATCTCCAGGCCCCACTTGGAGGTTGGCATCACAGTTTAGCTTCCATGCATAGTGGGAATTTGAACCTGAATGTCCCAGATCCTAGTCCAATGCTCTCACAACTATATCATGATCACATATCCCTGGAATCAGGAGGCAGCAACCTACAAATTGCCATAAAGTGGTACCTGATCCAAAGCCTGGTTTTTGCACATTTGATATCTTTTAGGGGACATTTGCAGAAAAAAACCTACCTGTGACTTAAAAAGCAGACTCTTGGTGACTTATGGTATAGTAGACTGGACAACGCTTATTAAAATACATTGTGCGGGATTATTTGTAGGTTTGAGGGTTCAATAACGACACAACACAGAGATCTGTTGAAGCTCTCTGACCAAGTTCTCAGTTCTCTCTCTGTCTCTCCCAAACTGCCTGTCAGCAGCGTTTTATTAGAGCAGGCTCACACATTTCTCCCCCCTGCCCTGCACAGTGAAAACGTTACAAGTAGAAGACTCCAACTAGGATCACAGTATATTCTTAACAGAATGTTCTTTACCCATAGCTCATCTTATCTTGCCCGACTGTAGCCAAGTTCATACTCTCCGCAGACTCAGCAGACTATGTGCACTAATGTCCAATCTTCATGTGGGAACATTGATATTCCGGGCATGCCTCTCAGAAAATCGCCGTTCCCACATGTCACCCTTCTTTAGTTTTAATGTGCAGGTAAGAGAGGAATGCCATCCTCAGGCTCATCAGGCCATTCATCCTCCGAGTCGACTGAGTCAGCATGAGGCCAGGTCACAGCCACCTGAAGAGGGTAGGCCTGAGTCGGGGAACGACAAAGAGAGCTGAACAGTTGGCATAAAGAAGGAATGCATTGTAGAAAACAGCATAATAAAATCAGGATCATTAATCCCACAACCCCATAAACAAACAATTGCTGTAACCATCCCAAAGTAGGAAGCCACCCTTTGAACCAATCCCAAAGACCTTCAAATCCCACATCTTGCCAAATATAGCAGGTGAGATTTTCGAGCTCTTCCAGATGATGTTCAATGCTCTGACCATTATCGGTTAAATTAAAACAACACATATTTTTGAAAGACGAACACCCATAATGATGTTTGAAAAGCAAAAAGTTAATGACCGCTCTATTATCTAGAATAGCTCCTCGTAGGTCCGGTTTTTCAGAATTAAGGAGTGCAATAGCCTTAGAAGTTGCATTAATTGCCTTGACAGCATAACATGCTAGTTCAGCCAAAGTTCTAGCATTACCTACTGCCAGTCCAGGAACCCCGACAAGGGATGCTGCAAGAGCAACAATTATTTTTAACTAGCCTTGCCTTTTTAGGAAGCAATGTCTATAGAAAGGTGGGTAGGGTGCTTTCTATTAGGGTGGGCAGCGTGCTTTCTACTGTTGCTTATGCACATGTTGAGTTTAAAGCTGCCTTTTTACACCAGGCCACTGTAAGATCACATTTGTTTGTGGCAGGATTGCAAGTACATGTGACACAGATACCACACAATTTTGAAAATGGCTTTATAATTTTTGGCGCAAAGACAGAAGAGGAAAGGAAACATTAACTAGGGGCCAAGAACTGAAAACATGAGTGCAAGAAGATGCATATTTGTATCTCCAGTGAGATCGTCCAAAGTGCCTGGGATATCAGTCTGTTAATACTGTCGCCTGCCTACCAACATGGTTTTGCCCTGCATGTGTGGGAGCTGAGAATACTGGACTATCCAAGAAGAAAGAAACCCAGAAGAAAGCAGGCAGACAGAAGAAAAACCTGCTAAAGATGCAAACCTGTTGATCTAAGTGATGTTGAGTATCAGAAAACAGTTTTAACAGGTTATGATAATGATATGAAAATGACAGAGCAAATTGTCTGTCATGTCTGAGTACAATGGCAAGTTCTCTTCTACAGAATAAGCAATTGCTAGGAGACTAGATAGAGTACCTAAACAACGGACAGAGGTTCATGACATTGTACAGCAATCAGCACCATCCCAAAGAAAAAGAAATGCAAGAAAGCAAAGTTGCTGTATGATTAGGCTTTACAAATAGCAGAGGAAAGAAGGAAAGCAAAAGGCAAAGCTGAAAAGGAAAGATTTACCCAACTGAATGCAGATTTCTAGAGAACTGTAAGAAGAGATAAGGAGGCTAAGGAGGCTTTCCTGAATGAATAATACAAAGTAATAGAGGAAAACAACAGAATGGGAAGGACAAAAGATCTCTTCAAGAAAGTTGGAGAAGTCAAGGGAACATTTCATGCAAAGCTGGCCATGATAAAGGGAAAAAATGGAAGGGACCTAACAGAAGCAGAAGAAATTAGGAAGAGATAGCAAGAATACACAGAAGCAGGGGTCTTGTTGTAGAAAAAGAGCTGCCGGAGCTCATTAGCATAACTCATTAGCATAACTTATTTGCATATGCCACGCCCCCTGACATCACCGGAAGTGACAGAAGGCCACACCCCCTGACATCACCGGAAGTGTGTCAGAAGGCCCGGCTACTTACCCTCCTGCTTCATCCTCATTCCCAAACGGAATGAGGATCGAAGCAGAGGGCGGGGTAAAGAAGGGGCGGGGCTTCACCACGTGACCGCCCCACCCCCTAGAGGTTCTCTTCCGGAGCTCCATACCTGAGAGCTCCCCCCCGACTAGAGCCCTGAAGATAAATGAAATGAAGGGATCACTGCAAAAGCATCTTTATATGTTTGTGCATACCAACAGTATTACAGGGATCAGATGTGGAAGAAAAATCATACAGTCAAAATGGAAGCCGATGAAAATCATGCAAAACAATGCCAACGGGGGGGGGGGGACCAAACTAGGTTTCAGCAGTACGTGGACAGAGAACTGCCAGAAGTACAAGCTGAGTTTCGAAGAGGTAGAGGAACTAGAGATCAAATTGCCAACATTTGCTGGATTATGGAGAAAGCAAGGGAGTACCAGAAAAACATCTACTTCTGCTTCATTGACTACACTAAAGCCTTTGATTGTGTGGATCACAACAAACTATAGCAAGTCCTTAAAGAGATGGGAGTACCAGACCACCTCACATGTCTCCTGAGAAACCTGTATAAGGGT